GGGGCGCTGGCTGGGAGCCCCTGGCCACCGCGGGTGCGAGCAGGCAGCGGTCTGTGTGCCTCGGGCGTGAGGGGTGCCGGGCACAGCTTACCCACCCTCTGCTCTCATCCGACGTGACTCCGGCGAAGGGGAGAGGAAACAAGACCAGACCGTATGCCTAATGCTAAAATCCCTTTCCAGAGTAGCATTAAACAATGATTAACTATTTGGAAAGGCTCATAAGCACTAATCTTCTTGACTGGATTAGTTGATATTCCGATAATCAGCGCTCTTGCTCGAGGGCAAAAGATGCCCTTCCTTCTTGCTCATATTTCCCCCTCCTGCAACGCAGCAGCGGGCTGGTGTCGTGTCACCCTCCCTCGCAGCCATCCCGGGGCCACAGCAGCGGTCTGCGCCCCGCTTTTGCGAGGGCAGCCCTGGACCTGGGTCCAGCACCCCACACTGCCCCTGCCCTGGTTTCTCCGCAAAACTTCTGGAGAGCAGGTGGGTCTTTTGCTTTCAGAAGGTGCCACATGAATGAGCGGCTGCTGCTCATCACACCGTGTGGAGAATCAGGCAGGTTAGGCAGCTAACGGTGTCTGTTTTTTTCAATTTAGCTAGCTATTCTTGGCCTGATGCACTTTTCTTTTTGTTCCTTTCAATAGTTGGTCTTTTTCCAGAAATGGGACTGGGTGGCTTGTTTCCAGGTAGTCTTTGCTTTGCATTTCCTGCCTGCCGCTGGCTGCAACCCTCTCATTTGTGCTCACCTCCTCCCGGGGCTCTCTTGCCATCCCCGGGGGCCTCCGGGTGGCCCTGCTGGGGCTACTGGCACAAAGCAGGGTCAGAGCAAGGGGCGAACAGGGCAAGGAAGGATGTGGAGTCCAGTGGGAGTTGTGCAAATCACTGGCAGTGTTGCGTCAGGAAGCTTTAGTTTATCCATCATAGACATGCAGGAGGCTGAAAACCCTTTCTATTTCAAATCCGGGATCCTGGAAAGAGCTGTCATTGATTGCTAAAATTATTTACCTATGTTATATTTCTTCACAAGGGGAAAAACTCTGACAATCAGTAAGTGTGGTTTTGCTTGCACTGATGGGATTTTTTTGAATTTTCCTGAGTCTAATAATGCAAGAAGAAACAATGCTCCCCGTATCTTCAGCATCTTGTCCAGCATGAAAATATTTACAATGTGTTAGGTTCCCTTGGCTTTGCTTGCTGTATGTAATCATTTCCACTTAACTCTGCCATTCTGGCGAGGCGTACAGGTGGAAAGGATTTTACAAAGTGTGAGAGAAAGGAGTCTCACAGAGAGTTAAAAGTTGCTTGAGCCCATAAGGCCTGAACCAGGGCCTGTAATGGTAAGATACCATCCTGGTGGCTTCCCACTGAGGGTCTAAACTGAGTATGTTCAGTTAGGGAAGGGCTAAGTAAGGGGGAGGATTTTAGCCTTGAGGAGAAATGGGGAAGGAGAGTAACTCTTAAGTATTTTTTGAAGCAAATACAGGAAGTGACTAAAATTTTTCACCAAATGACAGCTGTTAGGTTGCCCATGGGAAATGAGTGAGTTGGCCAGAGGGCTAGATGCCCCCGTGGCTGGAATTGCTATCGCATTTCACTCGTGGTGGCAGCCCAGCAGTCAGAGGATGTATCACATTTCCCTCTCCATTTACCTCCAAGGAGAGGCATCTCTCCAACCTAGTCAGGGCTGTTGACAGGAGTGTAGATGGAAATTGGCATTACTATAAATATGTTGCTGACAGAGGAATTTAGCTTCTGTTAGTATCAATCCCATATCAATCTCAAGCACAAAATCTTTTTAAAAAGGACATCTGAAATGAGGACTGTGTCTAAACGGGGCTTGCTGTATAATCCCTTTTTAAACTCCTTCCTCATACAATAGTCAGACTGCTCTTTAATGGTTACTTATCATTCAAAAGAAGTTTCTAAGCATAGCCATGTGAGAATAGATCTGTTTAAAGCAGAGGCTTTGATCCTGTTGTAAGATACATATTGTGTAGCATTATTTGAATTCTAAGTAAGTTGGGGTCACCCGCTGCATTCCTTGCTCCTGGAAAACAAACCTCCCACCAAAAGACAAAAGACGTTTTGCCTAAGTAACAGCTGCAGGATTGGGTCCTTGAAGTTTCTTTCACGTAGGTCTGAAAAGCAGCTCCAACTGCTTAAATACCTACACTGTTATTAGAGGCACCACGTATTTCTCTCTGACAGCACTCAAATGTAAAATGGCCTATTTACATGTATCTCACCTACTGAAGTTTTGTCCTCAATGGAATACATTTCCTGAATTCATACAAATTTAATTATTCCTGATCAAACTAAATTGCATATTATACTTGTTAAGGGGTGAAATTTATGCCTGCTCATGAATCTCCCTACTGTGATAAAATGCTTACACCTAGTTCAATGTCAGCTAATGACAGGCCATTTATAAATGAATTCAAATATACAAAAGATATCTTAGGCTGAGGGAAAATATGCAAAGTGTATTTATAGATATCATTGGTTTAAATATTTATATTTATGCAATTTTCATCTGAAAGTGATATTTATTCTACTTGCCTACTTGTTAAGTGTATCAATTTTGAGGTAAGCTTCCACTGACTTCAAATCTAAGTAAGGAGTTAGAGGCTCAGAACTTGACCCTTTGTGGAGATTTTCTGTCCGGTAAATGTATCTGTCAAAATATAATCTGGAAAAGGGGGAGCTGTTTGGAAATCAGTTTTTCAGAAGGCCTTCATAAACTCAAAGAAATAAAAAGCAGTATGTTCCACCAACTCTGTGATGGTGTCTTGTAGTTTGTGGCGTTGCTATTTTAAGGTTTTTGTATAATTACTCTGTTTTTTTGGGGGGGTATATTTATTCAACATGTAGAGTGAAATGCTGCAAGTTCAGAATGTGGTTGGGTAAACAAAGTGGCTGTGTGCAAATTAAACTATGCTG